CATACGGCATTTAGCAACATACTAAAGTCAAGCAAAACGGCCGCTGTTGGAGTCACGTGATTAAATTAAAGCAAATTAATATGAAAACTTAAATTAAAAATTCCACTTATTGTTGTATAAGATTATGGGTAAACAATCAATGTAATATGACCTATTCAAATAATAAAACTTCCCATTTTAGTGGTGTATTATCATGTCTCAAACGTAAAATATGCCTCTTAACGTGAGGGTGCAGGCAATTAGGTGGAAGAGCCCGACAATGAGACCTGTTCGAGGATTTTAAGTTTACGTAACTGGTCATTACAGATTTGATTTTAAACTCAGCTTCAATATAACATGAGGTTAGTCTTAAAGTCGGCCTCTTTGAAAAGTAATAAAGTTTGCTCTACCCCAATGTGTTGTGTAATAAAGTATTGTTTTGCCCTGAACTATCATGATGCCAAAGCTCATTGACGCAAGCAGCAAAACTATACTTTATACACTACACATGGGGTAGAGCAGTCTTTATTCTTAATTATATTTCTATAATCTACTCAAGACTCAGAATTATCTGTTTCTCGTAGCTCGTTGATTATTCTCTAAATATCCAGATTATCAAATGGCCAGTCCCTTCTTGAGATGCGATCAACATTGGCAAAATACAGTCTTGGGTCCCTTGCCGTTATTCGAGGGTTTACGGTACTGCCCCTACTAGGAAATAGGATGTCAAATTGACTAATTGATGACGATTTAGGTAAGACATGGTTGATGGAAACTATATTTGTTACCAATATGCCAGCTGTATCAAAATGGCCTGAAAGTAATCGAGGGTCAGGTATGGAATCCAAGAAGGGACATTGTCGCATTGTCGCCCTTAGGGAAACAAGCGAAAAAGTGTCAAAATTAACCAAAGCGCAACAATGCGACAATGCGACAACGCTACATTTTGGCCATTTGTTGCATTGTCGCGCTTTGAATGATATTTTTTATATTACCAAAGGGCGATAACGTCCCTTTAAGGATTTCATATTCAGGCAAACCAATGACAGAAAGCTTGAGCAACGACGCGAAATTGGCCATGGCACCGAGCTTAACCACGCGATCAACTTCAATCGGTAAGAGGCGACTATCGGGATCGGGTGGTCAGACTTGCTGACTTGCTTGATGCAGGTCATCCAAATTGTGTGGATCGATGCTCATGATATCAATCACTGGATTGTCTGCTCCAGACTCGATTATTTACAGACCGCCGTCATATAGCAGGAATATTGCCGAGTGCGACGTAAAATAACAAATCAACCGACACTTCAGTCGACTCTTGTAACAAGCATAGGTTACAGGGCACCGATTCTTATCATAATGATTATCCTACTGTCAACGTCATATCTGGCGACGAACTCCGCCTGGACCTCGGTTGGCTCCACAATGCCGTCGCCATCTGTGTCAATGTCGGCGATGACGTTGCTGATCACCTGGCTCGGGAGCAGCTGGTCATGGTTGGTGTGGTTGCAGGAGTAGTGTTTTCTGCGGGCAGAAAAGCCCCCGATGAGTTGGGGCTTCTTTCAAAATTATTCCAGTTCTAAAGTGGGCTGGAGGAAATGTGAATGCAAACGTGCCCCAGACGTTTCCCACGAACGGGTAATGGTGCGGACAACCAACTGCATCTGATCTGATATACTAGTTTATACCACCCATCCATAAACTGCACCTGATCTGATAAATAATTAAGACAATGTACCCATAAACTGCACCTGATCTGATAAATAATTAAGACAATGTACCCATAAACTGCACCTGATCTGATAAATAATTAAGACAATGTACCCATAAACTGCACCTGATCTGATAAATAATTAAGACAATGTACCCATAAACTGCACCTGATCTGATATAATAGTTTATACCACCCATCCATAAACTGCACCTGATCTGATAAATAGTTTAGACAATGTATCCATAAACTGCATCTGATCTGATATACTAATTTATACCACCCATCCATAAACTGCACCTGATCTGATAAATAGTTTAGACAATGTACCCATAAACTGCATCTGATCTGATATAATAGTTTATACCACCCATCCATAAACTGCACCTGATCTGATAAATAATTAAGACAATGTATCCATAAACTGCACCTGATCTGATATACTAGTTTATACCACCCATCCATAAACTGCACCTGATCTGATAAATAATTAAGACAATGTACCCATAAACTGCACCTGATCTGATATACTAGTTTATACCACCCATCCATAAACTGCACCTGATCTGATAAATAGTTTAGACAATGTACCCATAAACTGCACCTGATCTGATATACTAGTTTATACCACCCATCCATAAACTGCACCTGATCTGATAAATAGTTTAGACAATGTACCCATAAACTGCACCTGATCTGATATAATAGTTTATACCACCCATCCATAAACTGCACCTGATCTGATAAATAGTTTAGACAATGTATCCATAAACTGCATCTGATCTGATAAATAGTTTAGACAATGTATCCATAAACTGCACCTGATCTGATAAATAATTAAGACAATGTACCCATAAACTGCACCTGATCTGATAAATAATTAAGACAATGTACCCATAAACTGCACCTGATCTGATATAATAGTTTATACCACCCATCCATAAACTGCACCTGATCTGATAAATAGTTTAGACAATGTATCCATAAACTGCATCTGATCTGATAAATGATTTAGACAATGTACCCATAAACTGCACCTGATCTGATATACTAGTTTATACCACCCACCCATAAACTGCACCTGATCTGATAAATGATTTAGACAATGTACCCATAAACTGCACCTGATCTAATATACTATTTTATACCACTTACCAATAAACTGCACCTGATCTGATATACTAGTTTATCATCTAAAACTGGCTCCCACAGGAGATATCTCTTGGATGAAATCAAGCGATATCTACACTTTAGATATCGCTGCAATGAAATTACATCATAATGCTTTGCAGACCATTGTGACATCACTGGTTACCATGACGTCACAATCAAATGACATCACTAATGGCTCTGCTACTGAAGCTGTTTGCAGTACTTTTTATACCGAAGACACTGCTAATTACTGTCTACAAATTAAAAAAGTTGAAAGAATGATGTTGGATGATAAATAAAATCTCATCCTCGTGTCTTTTGATATCAAATATATCAACACTCGTTGATAAAAGTGGCAAATATCCTCGGCAAGCCTCGGAGTTTTTCCACTTTTATCAGCTCGTGTTGATATATTTGATATCAAAAGACACTCGGGTGAGATTCTCTATTTATACCACTTACACATAAACTGCACCTGATCTGATATACTAGTTTATACCACTTACCCATAAACTGCATCTTATCTGACATACTAGTTCAGACAATGTACCCATAAACTGCACCTGATCTGATATACTAGTTTATACCACTTACCCATCAACTGCACCTGATCTGATATACTAGTTTATACCACTTACCCATAAACTGCATCTTATCTGACATACTAGTTCAGACAATGTACCCATAAACTGCACGTGATCTGATATACTAGTTTATACCACTTACCCATAAACTGCATCTTATCTGACATACTAGTTCAGACAATGTACCCATAAACTGCACCTGATCTGATATACTAGTTTATACCACTTACCAATAAACTGCATCTTATCTGAAATACTAGTTCAGACAATGTACCCATAAACTGCACCTGATCTGATATACCAGTTTATACCACCCATAAACTGCATCTGACCAGATAACCCAACATATACCACGCACCTACAAGCGGCATCTGATATGCTAGCTTATACCAGTCATCTATAAACTGCATCTCATATGAGATATAGCTTATACCACAAACAGGTCTGGACAGCGCACCTGGTGTTGGGGAGTTTGACAGCGCTCAGTAGATACAGAAAGTAACAGGTCTGGACAGCGCACCTGGTGTTGGGGGAGTTTGATAGCGCCCAGTAGATACAGAAGGTAACAGGTCTTGATAGAGCACCTGATGTTGGGGGGGGGGGGGGGGGGGGGGGGGGGGTGGGGGGGATAGCGCCTACTATATTCTGCCCTTCATGTGTTGATGAGAGATATTTAGAGATTCGTTACATAAAACTATCCTACCTTTAAGTTACCAACTGACCCGTGAAGATCCGGGGTAGAATAGGTCTTCAGCAACCCATGCTTGCCGTAAAAGACGACTAACGGGATCGGGTGGTCAGGATCGCTGACTTGGTTGATGCATGTCATCGATCCCAATTGTGTGGATCGATGCTCATGATGTCAATTACTTAATTGTCTGGTCCAGACACGATCATTTACAGACCGCCGTCATATAGAAGGAATATTGCAGAGTGCGGCGTTAAACAAGAAACAAACAAACAAACAAACAAACAAACAAAGGATCACCTGCTGGAGAGGTTTGTCATTAACGATAGGTACAGTAACAGGCAAGCGTTGGTGTTGCACAAAGCAATATTGGCGCTTAGACTGGGCAAGTGGGCCGGAACAGCGCTAAGATGATCGTAACTCCCATACTTTAGCATAGGCTTACAATAGTCTTAACGCTAAGATCGCTTTGTGCAAGTGGGCCCTGGTCTCCCTGTGGGGATTCCGGGTTAAATAGGTCTCCATCAACCTATGCTGGTCTTCTCATGGGCATTCCGGGTTAAAATAGGTCCCCAGCAACCCATGCTGGGCCCACTTGCACAAAGCGATTTTAGCGCTAAGATGATCGTAACTCCCATACTTTAGCATAGGCTTACAATAGTCTTAACGCTAAGATCGCTTTGTGCAAGTGGGCCCAGGATGAGGTTTTGACAAGAAAAGTTAAGATTCGCCACATAGCGGCATGGAACCATCAGCAACTATACCTGGAGGAGGAGAAGTACAGCTAGTGTTCCACAAGGCTGTCTGGCTGATACTACCGACAAGCGGGCGCGTTACTTCTCATTTAAAGTGTGAAGATGCGAAGGAGTGTCGTTATAAAAAGTAAACATTTGTGCAGACTTTGTACACCTGTGTCTTTCACAGAGTTGTCACTTTAATTTGGATCGCGTTGAAGTCTAAAATATGCGTGTGATAGAGGCAAGGTCACGACAACTATGCAGTGTCACTATTTGAGACGGATCTTCTGTTATTTGGTTCTCCATATATGGAAACATACTCTAAATTTTAGAAACATTTTTTCCCCGTGGGATCTCCACTGATGTTTATCGGATAGAGCGTCGGCCCGAGGAGCGGAAGGTCTGTGATTCAATTCCTAGCACGTCATACCAAAAGATGTTAAAAGATGGTACTTGTTATTCTGTCTGGCGCTCGGCATTAAGGGGCTAAGGCAAGGACGTCAGTGTACCGTGTCTGAGTAGGGTATTCATGTTAAACTGCGGCATGGTATCTCAGTGGGCTAGCACAGTAAATCGGCATCAGTCCGGACGAGTACAGCCAGCCACACATACTCAACGCACGCACGCGCGCGAGTGTGTGAATGCACGTGGCTATATACGTGCAATAATCTTGAACGCCATGTCATACCCATTTCACCTCACCTCAACCTTTCCCGCTGAATCAGGTAACAGAACACCTCGGGTCTCTTCCAAGACACATGTAGAAGGAATGGATGACATTCCCACAGCCTCTAAGCTTCAGTATATAAGTGGCGGACATTTCTAAATTTGACCCATTAGTGACAAACATTTGGTCCGATGCAAGTACCTATTTTGACTTGTACCATGTGTTCCCGGGTGAAATAATTGACTTGCCTTTGCATGTGTTTGTGATGGATGTCACCGCTCTACCACTAGGCCACGGAGGCGGTCCTTTAAACAATAAAATTCTTAGATAAAATGTTTTGTATAACAAATCTAACCATCAGTTTTTATTGCACATTTGGGTGTACCTACATATAATAGCAAACAATTAAAAATTACAAACAAATTGTTGATAAAACTGTAAATTATTAGAAATAATACATAACCACATACCACCTTATAACGGTTATCAAATCAAATAGTTGAATTTAAAGTTTTATATATATAATACACATGTATTCACACTAATGGTCTGTCATGCAAGCAAGTTATTTTGGCTGAATGACCTCGAACTTTGGTATCCGAGGGGACCTCTGGGTATTGGCGTCCTTGACTGGATTGGGGTTGATTGACTCCGCTTTTCCGGTTGACCTATTGATGCGCCTCATCACCATGTGCTTCAGTTCCTCGTGGCTCAGAGGGGGAGGCCGGTTTCTTCACTTATCTCATTCATGTCCTCATCTTCCCTACAAATACATGTCAGCATGAGACCCGTGAAGATCCGGGATAGAATAGGTCTTCAGCAACCCATTTTTGCTCTAAAAGGCGACTATGCTTGTCGTAAGAGGCGACTAACGGGATCGGGTGGTCAGGCTCGCTGATATGGTTGATACATGTCATCGATCCTAAGTGCGTCGATGATCGATGCTCATGATATTAATCACTGGATTGTCTGGTCCAGATTCCAT